TATCCACCGCACGCAGCGCAGCGTGTGTAATGGAAGCAACGCATATTCTAGAACACTCAGCAAATCTAGAAGGCGAATGCCGATTGTCCTCCAAAGAACAAAGATGCCAAGCACGCGTGGGGAGATATTCTATGCAACTGACAGGCTGCATGTAGGTTCAAAAAATATTTCCTAAAGTTCCTGCATATACCATGGCGATGGCAGCAATGCATATTCACAAACGTTCAGAATCTGTAAACTCTCAACGTTGGACCTCCCAAATAAAACAGAATGGAAATCACAGCCATGCGCATACAGCATAGCTCTCATGAAGCCCTTCAGGGCAACGCCCATTGCCTACAAGGAAGAATTCAACTTGCAGGCGGACAGTCGCGGACAGCTGTACATTTCATTCAAAAGAACCTCCCTGGACAATGCAACATAGATGCACAGCAAAATCCAATCCCAAGAGAGAGTTCTCTATCGCTGAGAGACACCAAAAAACATGACGATCAATCCTTAATGCACATCGCGCCATCAAGGCGGTGTTCTACTGTTCAACATCCTAACCAATTAACAAAACAAGATGACTTCAAGACGCACTCGCAGCAACTTTGTTATCGTAATCCACACTTCCTACCACTTTACACTGGAGTGCAGCGCGAAAGCGTAGCGTTCTCATTTCGAGAACAATTACGTGCTATAACCTAAATAAGACGACGACCTAGCAATGAACACCGAAACACCCGAGTGCACAGAAAACTGAGCCCTGCGGTAAACAACACAGCCAGGAAAGCAAAGCCAAAAGTCGCGCAGCACAGATACCCACAGTGTGAATGCCGACCTCCCTCGAATGCCTTAAAAAGCAAAACACAGCATGGAAAATAATCTTGTTCTACTTACAGCCTGCATTTCGGCGCGCAACAAATAGCTCGAACCTTCATATTCATATACAGCGCCTCTTGAAGCCATGATTCTACAGCTATCAAAAAACACGAAGCAGCATAGGTGGCGTCGCCCTTACGACCACCATCAGTAGGCTGTTGCTCCTAACACTATGGCTAGCATGCACTTGACAACTAGATTCAAAGGTCGGCAAGCAGACACAAACATTCAACAGACTGAATCATGTTTCGGGGTAATTCCCAAGACTGCGCTAATAGGTGACGTCCGTTCTCTTATAGGTTTAGCAGGTCAACGAGTTATGGCATTCTTGACGCATACACTGCACGTTGGCTAATAAATAAACTTTTCGAAAAACAACCAGAGCCTCCTCAACAACTGGGTGTGAGCAGCAGACCACAATAAATGTTGTGGGTCCTCACAGAATCCCAGCACTCGGCAGGCTCTAAACAAAGCAACGGTACAAAACTAAAGCCTAGATCTGCTGAGTTACTGGCCTCGGCAATACGCAAAAAGCCAACCGCAAAGTAGCAAAAACAGAGCTTTCCCACCCAATACAAGCAATGCAAACAATGCCGCGCACCACAGAACTTTAGACAGGGTTTGAGCGTGGCGCACGAGGCACTAGATGGATCCTTACATGAAAAAGAAACGATGAAACCGCTAACTGCTCGGTTTAAAGGCCCTTGAACCCTGAAATTGGCATAAACAGCTGCATTAGCCACTGGAAACGTCCCCGCATTTAACAACCAGAAGCATGCTTCTTCTTCGCAAACGGAAGAACGTAAAAGGTGAAATCGAGCTTCGAAAACCAACACAACCGAGCATCATGCTCCAGAAGTCTTCAGAAACACGCGTTCCGTCGCCAGGCTTCACATGCCACGTACAGCCTGGACAGCACGGAAGCAAGGTAGATTAATGAAACTGGGTCTCAACAAGAACGGAGGTCCTCTCGCATTTCAGTACGCACTGCGGAAGCTCTCGCCCTGTGGGCGGAATTCTAAACACCAACAAAAGAACAAGATGAAGGCAGCTGTTGGGGCTACTGAGACAGGCACAGCACATGGACGCACTCAACAACATAGAACCGCCATAACTAACGGCGAATGGTTCGAAGGATACATACCTCTAGTGCTATGCCTTCTTGGGCAAATATATGTGACGACTCCGGTGAATCGTTCAAAAGATTTGAACCCAAGTCTCAATTCGCCGCCATCGAGCGGCAGTTTCGCACGGCGAACATCCTACAAAACTGCAAACGCCAAATAATATCCCCAAAAGAACAAGCACCGAAGTGCTCAACGCGCCAGATAACTGTACTGAAGATTGCTCAAAGACGTGGGCTAGACCGTGTTCAGGCGTGAGTGAAAATGAAGCGTCTCTTGTTTTGTAGAAACGGTTACGCCTCATTGCCGCTGATGTTTGTGTTGCTGACGTTCCGATGACGCGGCAAGTGAGTAAGCAATATATTGTCACGTGCCTCTTCATGGCACGAAAGAATGTAAGTGTTTTCCACGACGCTAAAAGAGCACTGTAAAAACACATGCATAGTCGCAAAGCAGTAGCGTTGGGAAACAAAGCTCGTGCCATGATGACCTCCGCACGCAATAACCATCGCTGCCCTTGTACATCTTGAAAAAGCGAGCAAATACAGACAGCAACCATGCATTAGTATTTCGGTGAAACTCGATCTAGCCGTGTGCCATGGAGGGCGGGTATCCATGCCGTGTGCCTGGCCCAAGCAGGGTGTACACCACCAGCGCGTATTCAGGCAGAACCAGCGTAGAAGTGTTCCACACAAATCATTTCACGCGCATTTATCAAACTGCTCAGGGATAGTTCACTTTTGTGCTGCGTTTTACTGTTAACATCGGGGAAACACGCCCGCCTAGTTACCGTGATGAGGGTAACACAAGGTATGCAAGCAACTCATTGCTTGTCACACACAGTCTGCGCCTCCCGAAGAAAGTCTCATCCCGCCGTCAGTAAGTGCAAGTTTCGCGTTAGCACTTGTCTGCGTTGAGAAGTATTCCAGATACAGTGCAAAGCTCGGCATCACATACACTGACTCAAAACTAGGAACCAGGGCCTGTGTGATGGAGATTACGTCATGAATGCCAATCATCACGAAATGATCGCTCTACCTGCGTGTGGGCTGCAATGGCAGGAATGCAAAACAATTGTGCTCCTACACAAACTGTGCGTCTCGAAGAAAAACCGCACCTTACTTGCAACTGCGTTGCGAACCCTTCAACAGCATCAAATTCACGGAAGCCTCATACGCATGAGGCGTCAAGCCGGGAGACAGCAACGAGGACCTCACAGTGTCGAGCGCAGATTCGCGAACCCTGACGGGACCCTGACGTTTTAAGGTCTCATCTTTATGACTTTCATCTACCGCCTTCACATCATCCCACTATGTGTACTTGCACAGAATCGTACCTATCATTCTGGGTAATTCCAAGTACTTTTTCGCCGCTAACGAATATTCAGGTGACATGTGCTCTTCTGACCAAAATGAAGACCACTTCCCACGCACTTTTAAGCTTCAAATGTTACGTGAATTTCGGCTTCAGGCCTTGCTCAGCCCGAAATTCGTCGCTAAGAAACACAACGCTGAACAATTCTCCAGCACACCTTCATACGATATGACTCTTGGGAATGATGCAAGAAAATGTTATTCAACGGCAAACAAAAAGGGCCCGTTCTGCACCGCCGCGTGCACTCCTAGATTGGGTCGATCCTGGCGTGAATTTCATCAGATGGCAAGGAGGTTCAGGCTGCTCTGCATCCACTGCATTCAATGTCCTTTGAGACGTAAAATCAATTTTAAAATAAAGAATTAAAGATTTTTGTTTTAGTTCGCAAAAATCGCGTTAAGGAAATGCAAAGACATCATGGACGATGGTCGGCATCGAGCCGATAGCTGCATCAGGTGATGAACGATGCTGCTGCTCCTGTCGCAAACTTTCGGGCTTCCGCTGTATATTAGAAACAATAAATTATTTAGGTTTATTTAGGATAAAACAATTCATGTTAATCAGAGGTAATCAAGGATGCACCTATCCTTCGAATCCACACAATTGAGCGGGGAGCGGTGTCGGATATCTGCAAAAGTTACCTCTAAGATGTGGAATTAAACCTTAAATACATTTAAATTACATAGGACAACTTGGAAATATTTCAGCAGCCTTGTGTGGAGGGCTCGCAGCGCTGCAGCCGCGCCGCCAAGAGTAGTATCCCACATCAGTGACTTTGGTGTCTTCGTGGTATCTGCTTTGTTCGCGAGCCAGAAACGTTGAAAGAAGTAAATTTAATCAACTTTTCATTTATGTGCTTTTGACTTTTATAGCGGGGGCAGACTAAGCTGCTTTGGAAACGGAACACCTGCTCGGACAGATATCCCAGCCTTGCACTACGGCTTCAGGCTCCTCCCGCGATTTTGAATGCTTTCAGTCCGTTCATTAATGTTCCGAATATACATTATTGTTTAAAAAGCGCAAAACAGCTTTTTATTCAGTCTCTGATCTCTAGAAGGCTCTCTTCTGTTCAATCTTCTAGCTGCTCCACGCCCATAGCGTCTCATGACGACCTTCTTAGGTGTCTCTCATCAGCCGAAGCCCGCCTAATGCGCAGTTCTCTTAAATACAACTGCATTTATGAAAACTAAAAGAAAAGGGCAGTACAAACTTCGGCGACAATTAAGTATGCCGCTCAGTTTTCTTGGGTGCTGCGGCTTGGAGCTGCCTGTTGCTCGACGGCTGCGGAAGGGGCAGTGCGAGTGCGTTTGTTTCATTTTTCCGAGTATTTGCGCATCTATTTGATGTGTTTCACCCAAAAGGCTTCTTTATTAGCCCTGCGAAGGCCACGAACCCTAGAGGAGCAAAAACAGTAGGTGCTCCGCTACAGCACACCCCTTGGAGAGCTGGAGCTGCCCCGACGCCAGAGCCCACTTCGAGAAGGCACAGGCTCCCGAAGGGTAATCTTTAGAGAGGAAGAGCTGCCCCCTTTAGAGACTCTCTCTGTGGAGGACGTGGGGGCCGTTAGGCCCAAAGGAAGCCCACTATTGGCAGTTTTTGCTGCTGCTGACTGCCCGCAGCCCGCTGTCTGAAGAGGCGATGCGGGAGAGCCCCAAGGCGCAGCGGCTGCTGCGGGACTGGGGCAGCCTGGCGCGGGTGGTGGCACTGCCGCTGAGCAAGAGTCCGGAGTTCCGCGAGGAATTCCGGACTCTTGCTGCCCATCCCCCTGGTGGCCTACCGGGGTGCTTCCAAGGAGGACCCCGTGCTGCAGCTGTACCCTGGGGCAAGGCCAGCAGCAGCGCTCCGTTCAGCAGCTACGGGGGCCCCGACGTGGCTGCTGCAGAATTTGCTTATTGGGTGTTGGCTTAGGAAGGCCGGGCAGCAGAGTTTTCTGCAGAAGATGAGGCGAAGCCCAGGAAGGGGGGCCGCAGGCCTCGCCCATTGGACCAGTGGTCCACGCGTGGGTGCACCCGGGCAGCGCGGGGGCGCTGCTACTGGCACAGCGGATGCAGCAGCGGCAGTAGCTGCTGTCAAAGTCAACTCTGTTCAAAGTGCAGTGAGAAAGAAGAACTCCACATGTACCGATAGCTGCTGCCATTCGACTTGGGCGAAAAAACTTTTCTCAGCTCCCCCAAACCCTTCTGGGGGCTGCAGGCAGTGCTGGTGCTGCTTCTGGAGGCTGTGTATGTTTTACAGCGAAGTGCCTGCGGGCCTTTTGCTGGGCCACCGGGTGCTGCTGTCTGTACAGGTGAGACGCTTTAAAAACTTTCAAGTCAGTGCGGAGCCGCTGATGAAGTTTTACGAGGAATATAAATCCCTGCTGGTCTTCCAGATTGCCTGCACTAGCCTCAAAGAGGCCGCCAGGGCCGAGGCGCTCTTTCAGCACCCGCTGGAGCGGGGCTGCCGTCAAAAACTCCAGGCCCAACCCATGGGCTTGCCAGCTGGCCACTGGGCTCTTAAGAGAGGCCACCCCCTTTTCTCAGTATTTCTTGGGCATGCCGCTTAGCTACTGCAGCCTCCAGGCCTTTCTTGAGCAGTGGTCCCGAGGGGGTCGAGAGCTGCACTTCAGGTCTCACCGGCTAAGTGCAGCGAATTCGGGGGATCTTGTGAAGAAGCTGAGTCACCACTAGTTCCTCCAGACTCTGCGTGCATCAGCAATGACCCCCTTCGCAGTTCTTTACTACGAGCCCCGCTGCCCTGGCTGCGAAATCTTCCTCGACGCCTGGAAGCAAGTTGCTGCTGCCTTCAGCCAGCAGTAGCAGCCCCGCGGCAGCCTCCTCTTTGCCCAGCTCAACGCAGAACTTCATGATCTCATTGACTTCGATCCCAAGTCCAAATTGCCCGCCGTCGCGCTATACCCCGAGTGACCGCAGGCCCTCTACCTCAGGCGCATCTACATGGGGCCCCCCATAGTGGAAATGTTCGGCGACTTTCTCCTCGCTGCTGCAGCCTTCAAGGAGGAACTTTGAATCTTCAACTAGGACTTGAATTCAAATCCAAAAACTAGTGACAGAAGAGGTTCAAATTGGTAACTCATTAAATATTGACATAAAGGGAACTCACGACGCCAAGAAACCGCGGCGAAAGAGTTCAGAAAAAACCCAAAATCTGCAAATAAGCCCGGCTCTTGACATTCCCAACAGAAACGCATGCATGCATACTGAGCAACAAGACAAACTGCTTGAATCAACTGAGGCAAAGTTTTATTCCCTTATTATAAAATTTGTTTTATTCAGGACATTTGCTGTTTCTTTCCGTAAGAGGGAAGAACGCCGCATTTGAACTTTAAACGCGCACGAAATGGAAGAGCAACTCAGAAGCCGTATTTCAGCTGGTCAAGCAATCTTTTGTTCTTTGAGTTCTGGGCTCCACTTTATGAACAGCAGCAGCAACAGCAACAGCAACAGCAAGAGCAGCAGCAGCAGCTTTCCTTTTGGAAAGAAAAGCAGGTCGCCTTTGCGGCGTTTCTGCTAGCTTTAGGTGCATTGCGCTTCGCAGCCAGCAGCTGCTCTCAGCTGTTGAAGTACTGAAATTGATTAAAGTTTGCAATTTGCATGCATGTTTTGAGACACCGAAGCATATCTGTTGTCAAAAACGACGAAATGCATTTTATTTCTGCTGCCTGAAAAAACCCAATTTTTTTGTTCTCAGCACGAAAGCTCAGCTCCCGCGACTTTCTGAAAGTCTTTTTAATTATTGGTTGATAATGTGCAACAAAGGGTAAGCTGAGGCCAGAATCAATATTCAAGTGGCAAATTGCAAAGCCCTTCCGTGTTTGCTTCAGCTTCATGGCATGCAAAAAGGGTCTCTGGCGGCCTGGTGGTAGGTGTTTTCGCCCTTCTCAGGCCGCCAGAGGCCCTTCTTGCAAGGCATGAAAGTAAAACAAGCACAGAAGGCTTCCCGCAGCGTTAGCGCGGGGCTCGTCTGAGCTGGCTAGCTAGCGTTATGCTGGAGCAGCCTTTTGCTTTTACTGCTGCAGCAGGAAGCAGTGGCGCGCCAGTAGCCCGCACTGCTTCGCATTGGCAGAGAGTGAGGCATGCATGCACAGCACTGTTTCCTCCGCACGCTTCTAGGCTGATCCCGTTAGGGCGATATTGTTAAAAGAGTTTAATGCCACCAAGCAGCTCCAGCGGCTTTACGGAAATCGAAGGACACAGGCGCTCAAAAATGGTCTAGATCTGCTGCGCGGCGGGAGGCGCAGGTAAAACGTATTCACAGTATTTAGGTGGCCAGCAGCCAATTTTTCAAAAAGTTGCGACAACCTTGTTAAAGCCATTAAGCCTTTCCAGCCCAAACCGCCAAGGGCTATGTCGTGAATTTATCAAGAAAAATATTTCTTTTAACGTTTCGAATGATAACCTTGAGCCTATAGCCCCAGAGCAACTCAAATTCACTCCTGACGTTTGCGGAGCGGATGCAGCAGAGGTAATCCGTAGCTGAGCCAAAAGTTCACCTCATTGATAGTGTCTACTTGAGCAAGTCCCCACATTAGCAGCAGAAATACCTTCTTAGTTCAAAATCATTTGCCGGGTTTTAAGAGCCAAAGGAACAATGCGAGCAGGACAAAACGCTGAAATTGCTAAGTTTCTAGGGTCTTTTGAGGGTTTCAGGGGGAAAATTCAATTTGTGACTGCAAAAGGCCCCATTAATTGTCAGAAAGCGAGCTGTTGGTGTCTTTAAAGATTCAGCTTAAGAGCTCCTAGCGGCTGAAGTGGCCTGGAGCCTCATACTGACGAAGGCACTCTTGAAGAGCGCTGGGGCAGACAGTTTCAAAGAGTTTGAGAAGCTGTGTGAGTGCAGCGATCGCCTGTTCTCTTTGGGTTTCTAGAAAGACAACGGCGGCCTGTTTTTTGGCTACCGCGGCTGCTTCATTCAAACTCTGGGGTCCCTGTGACTCCGTACAAACTCTGGATCGGAACTATGTTGGAGTCCCGCTAGCCAGCCAACATGTGAATGATTTCGCCGTTGTACTTGTACAAGCCACAAGAAAGCACCAGTGTGAGTGCGCGAAGAGCTCTCATTCGGATTTGCGAGTGCTCGTGCACAACACAGGAAAGCAGTGACCTCGCCAGCGGCTCAGTTAAGTGCAGCAGCATGTTTGGTGCCGACTGCAAAACTCAACGACGACATCCAGAGCCAAAGATTTCACCTCAGGGCACACATCCATTTCGTCGGCCCGCAGCAGGCCTACGGCCAAGACTAGGTGGCTCAAAACGGCTTCATCTGAACTTCTGTTCGGCGCCAGCTGCAGCACCTTGAACAGACTCTGCCGCATTTTGCCGCTCTTTTCTATGGGCGTCAGCTGCAGGGGCTTCTACTCAGGGTCTTGGCGCATCACCGGGGACACTCTTTCAATGTCTTCGGAGCCAAAGCTGGCAGTCAGCGCCCGCAGCACTTCGCCCGGCGCTTCGTCCACTGCTGCTGCTTCGCAGAGAAGCTTAAAGAGGAGACTGGCTGCGAGGAGCCATACCTTTTCGGCGGGCTGCGAAAGACGCAGCGGCAGCTGATCAAACAGCAAAGCAAATGATCTTTCGTAAAAAAGGGTGGGCACTGAGGCGTCCATAAAGACCTGCTCCAGCGCCGCAAGCGTCGTACCTGCGGCTGCTGCTGCACTCTTCCTTCAGCACATCTGCCTGCCGCTGCACTCTGCAGGACACAGACTTCCAGCTCTCAAGACTGTAGGCTGTTCTGCTCCCTGGCGGTTGTGAAGCCAAACCCTCCCCAGAAATGAGCTCATCTGGAGGTTTTTGTGAGGGAACTGCAGAGCTCTGGTGAATGCTAATGGCCTTTTCTTGCGAAAATTGACCTTTGGAAACCTGAAACTGGACAGGGAACGGCTGCAGTCTGGCGGTGCTGCACTCCAGCTAGTGCCTGACTCCAGCTCCTGCCACACTCTATCTACCAAATCCATCATGCCGGATTACCGCTGCACCTCAAGGTTCCAACTGCTGCGTTCGTGAGTCTCAGCCGTCTGCTTGCTGCTGAACTAATTCTGGCATATCAGGGAAACATCAACCCTAGTTCACGGGGCTGTGTCTTGCTCGACCGCTGCAAAAGCCCGAACGTGTAAGCAATAACTAAAACGCTTTTCAAATCAGCATTGACCCAGTGTTGGAATGCCATGTTCGCCTTTGTTTGTCGGCGAATATCTACTCGCGTGCAGCGCCTTCAAAAAGAAACGCCTGCCACCTTGGCAGCGGCCAGCTCATTATTTGGTGAGTATGTTCCAAAAATCACGAGCCATTGCCAGGTGCGTTCGCGTGCTGCAGATCTGTTTCCATCGAAACAACACACGAACAACCACATATGTGCCTTTGCCTGAAAAAATAAATGTTTTTGGCCAAATCTGTTTTGAATTGGTGAAGCTTTTGCTCCGCTCGCCACGGGCCTACTGTTCCGTCGGCCCCCTTCCTAATCTGCTGCTACATTGTGTTGTGCCCGTCTCATATCCACGTAAATGAATACCAAAATGAACACCAAAACATTCACTGTTCTTTTAATAAAGATATCTTCCAGTTGCTCTAATTCGTGCGTAATCCTGTGCGCACTACCATCAGTAGACCTGGTGCACGGGGCAGAGCACTCCAGGAAAGTGCATGTGTGTAACTGTTCTAGACAACTCCCTAGTCTCGACGACGAGGCAGACTGTTCACGTTACAGCTCAAGTTTTCGCAGATGTTCTTAGCTGGTGTTTATCTACTTTGAGAGCTTGACATTGACTCAAATAGTGCACCACCCGTGAGTGCTATCGGCCTGTTGCTGGTCACAGCAAGCAAACACGGCGGAGGCAAGCAAAGTTTCTGCTCTGACAGCATTAAAAAGCTCACGGGTAACACGCAAGTTTTTCAACCCCATAATTATTGTGTGAAAAATGCACGCGCTACACTCTCTAATCTTAATTGCCATCACGGCCGGCGCCCTTCTTGGAGCAGAGACTGCAAGCTCTTCAGAAGGAACACCTCGAGCTATTCACCAATATATTTTGCCCTCATCGAGACGCCGGCCTGGCATGTTGCCTGCAGTCTCAAGCCTCGCCTTACTGATCGCGACAATTGTCGGGTTTCTTGGCGCTCGTTGCTACAGTTCAATCAAGGGCCACAGTCCTAACGGACTGCCGGGACAACAAAAACGCAATATGGCAGAAGGCGGGCAAAGCCCTTGCCTCGTAAGTTTCAGTTTTCTGAGTGACGTGAGGGCGTTTTGGCACGACGCGCTGGCGCGACGCGCTAGGTCATCAATAGTTACTAGTACCAGATGGCCACTGATCTTGTGCATTCGTGCTACGGCGACATGCCATCAGTGGAGGCTGTGATTGTTGTATCAGTTTATTTTGGAAAAAGGTGTCTTGAGAGATTGAGGTTTGCAACTTCATGTCGTGCGTCGAGGGCTGCGCATGTAGCACATGGGATCGCACCAGTGCGTTTTGAGTATCCTCTTTCTGTCGAGCTCTAGGCCGGTCTGCTTTTCTGTTCAGTGAGACGGATTCCTACAAGGACTGATACCTATGGCTTCATCATGTGCTTGCACGGCTGCGCGTGTCGCACATGGAATTGGGGCAGTGTCTTTTGCTTATCCTCTTTGTGGGTAATCTGGCTTTCAGTCTCAATGCGCCTGCAGTGTTGGTGAGATTAATGTACCGGTAGACCATGTAGAGTCGTGCATAATGGTGACGATGCATCGCGTCTCCCTGCTAAGGACACAGCCGCTTCTCAGGCTGCGCCGGTGCGTTCGATGAGAGCTTATGCTTGCATGTGACACTCCCTGCCGAGTGGTTAGCTGGCTTGGGCGGCATGCTGCACCAGCATACAATGTACAGCACAAACAGACGCGCCGTAGAATAAGCATATGTTCCTCGCCTTGTCGAAGGGCTTTTGTTCGCGTTGAGGTGAGAGCGGGCGTTAGTGATTCAAGGGGTCTGTGGTCATAGTGCGGCGTGGCAGTGACGTTCATGCAGCTGCTGGGACAAAGGATGCTTGGCCTGCTGTGGATAGGTACAACTGGCGCTAATAAGTGAGCGCTTCTCATGGGCTTGCGCTTTTGCTATGCATATATCTGCCAGGCCAAGAGCCCTAAATGTGTCACCGAGGTTCCTGAATCGCCGGGTTTTTGTCCCTCCAAATTCGGATTGTATCTGACATTCTGTGATGATTCTTGCATTCATTTGTCCTGGGCAGGGTGGTTAGTCTTTTTGGTCTGTGGCGCGCTGCTTGGGCAGACGCGCCCACAATGGATGGCGACACGTCCGTGTAGTGCTTTGAGTTCGTGATCGTGACAACACAACACGGCTGCATCTCCGCTATGCTAACGCTTGGTTGGTCGTCGCTTTTACGATGCAGGATGTATGCGTAGCGTGCTGTGCGAGAGCGTTAGAGCAGGGACGCATGCGTGGCGCAGGAGTGTTTGACATTGCGCGAACGAGAGCGCGGGCGGCGTCTGTTATTTCGTTCGCCGCGATAACATTCACACGTAGAGTGTGTTTGTGTACGTGTGTATCTGCTAGTGCCAATGTATATTTGTTTGTTGCGGGGGTGTTTTCCGGGAGCAAATGCAAGCTACGGGTGCAGTTTGGTCTGCGTTGCGCTTGGGTAAGGGGAATGTTGAGATGAGTAGTAGGGCGTTGTGGTGATCGTGTTTGGCGGTGTACTTGTGTGAAGTCTTAACAGTGATGTTTCTGCAAGACCGTTGTGGAGACTTTGCATGGGTGTTTTGTCGGCAGTGGAGCTATGGAGTGATGGAGTGCGAGGTTTCGTGGGCTGTGGTGGGTCATGAGTGTTGGGCAGCGATGCGTTTGAGAGGCGGGCAGGTTTGAGCGCGTGGCGTGCATATTCTTGCTTTCAGTTGTCCTGGGCAGAGTGGTTAGTCTTTTTGGTCTGTGGCGCGCTACTTGGGCAGACGCGCCCACAATGGAGAACGACACGTCCGTGTAGT